CGCGCATACGTATATATACATAAATATATATTTGTTGTTTGTTTCAACACGCACAAAAACAGAAGTGTTTTGTTTTCCTTTTTTATTTTGAGTAGCTGAGGCTGCGAGGAGAAAGGTGCCTGGTCCGGTGTACGGCGCCGAGTCCGCCCCCCCCGGAAGCTCCCTTTTCTCCCAGGCGACTCGGGTTTAACCGATTCTGAGGCGCAGTCGCTAAAGAGCCGCCCTTCGGGAGGGCTCCCTCCGCCGCGAATAACGTCTGGCTCTGCCTCGCTGGGTTGGCGCCTGGGGAAAGGCGCCTGGAGGCAAAGCGGGAGCGGGGGAGGGAAACTGCACGGCGGAAGGGAGGGAGGGAGCGAGGCAAGGGGAGGGGAGCGATGACACACGTTTGCTATTTCGGTCCCCTCTTTCGGTTAATCACCGTGCGTTTTACTTGTAAATAATCTAGAGGAAGGAAAAGGGGGAAAAAAAACCCCACACCTTTCTCGTGGTAGCTAATAGCCATATTGAAAATTCGCTGCTGCTGCCCAAGTGACGCTCGCGTTGCTGGCAGTAGTTAAAATCGGCCCGCTATCCGTCCTGCTCTTGCCCGCGGGCAGGTCGGTAGGACGGTAAAGCCGACGGGATGTGCACAGCGTGAGTGGGAGGAGACCCAAGCCCCCAGCAGAAGCAGTGCTCAGGGTTTTGCTCGCCTGGCTGCCCAGCTTGGCCTTGGCACAGAGCTGCTCCTCTCTGAGGTTTTGCAGAGATTAACTCAGGCATTGCACCAAGAAAAAAACCAAGAAAACACTAAATGTCAGAAAATCTCCCTGTCCTAACCCTGCACAAAGGTGAAGGGTGACCAAAGAAGGATGGATTCAGCAGTCCTTGGTTTCATGTCACCAGGCGATCGCTGCCTTCTGGGAGGAAGATTGCTGTGGCTCCTACAACGGCCAGTGTGAAAACATTTTAATACTTTCAGTTTGCTTGCGCAAGCAGCTCATGGTGAAACTTACAGAAATATGAGGAGTAATTCACTTTATCTAGAATGGAAATAGTTTTTTTTTCCCCTGTTGTGAGGATCACTGTATTCTCTTAAATCCTTCCCCTGCCCTCCTTAAGTCATTAATGGACACCTCTGCCTTGGCTACTACGTAGGTTTCCTGCAGATATTTATAAAGCACTCAAGAGATCCTCAGCAGTCACGTTTAGTAAAAAGCCTGTGGCAGTGGATGCTGTATGACT